TGGTCCCGAGGAGTGCGCGCCTTTGGGGGGGGGTTCTGTCATGACCTGCTTGTCCGATCCTTCTGTGTGCCACGCCCCCCTCGTTACCTCGTGTTAATTCCCGATTGTGATCACCTGTTGCCTGTTATTTTCGGCTTGTCCTGTGTATTTAGTCCGCGTCTGAGTCCGTTTTCCCCAGATCCGTCATTGATGTTGTGTACTGTGTTGCTCGTTTCCCCCTTAAATAAACCCCGTTTGCCTGTATTTATGGCTCGACTCGTCTGTCTGCCTGCTCGCCTGAAATGCGACGTGACAAGGACCCCCTAATTATAACCTTGATTCTTCTTATTCATAAAAATGTTATTAATTTCCAACAGAATGAGCACTTCTCTTATTGGGACATGTTTTTGACAAAGTTTCAAGAATCGGTGGTATAACACTACGGCGAGCTGGACTACATAAAGTGCAAGTGTGCAAAAAGTGCATACATTTTAAAAACAGTGTGACACAAAACAGTGCAATAGAACAAATAGAAGATATGACAGTAAAACATGTCTTAAGAGTAAGACAGGATAAGTTAAAAGTTATTGAGGTAGTGGACTGTGTAAAGGTGTGTATGTATATCAGTCTGGTCTCTGATTGTTCAGAAGTTTGACGGCTTGGGGGAAGAAGCTGTTGCACAGTCTGGCAGTGAGGACCCGAATACTCCGGTACCTCTTGCCAGAAGGCAGGTGGGTGAAGAGTGTGTGGGGTCCACAATGCTGGTGGCTTTGTGGATGCAGCGGGTGTGATAGGTGTCTGTGATAGAGGGAAAAGAAGGTCCAATGATCTTCTCAGCTGTTCTCACTATCCGCTGTAGGGTCTTGCATTCCGATACGGTGCAGTTTCCATACCAGACATATGCAGCTGTTCATGATACTCTTGATAGTCCCTCTGTAGAAGGTGGTGAGAATGGGTGGTGGGAGATGGGCTTTCCTCAGCTTTCGCAGAAAGTAGAGATGCTGCTGTGCTTTCCTGGTTAAGGAGCTGGTGTTGAGAGACCAGGAGAGGTTCTCTGCCAGGTGAATACCAAGGAATTTGGTGCTCTTGACGACCTCCACAGAGGATCCATTGATATTCAGTAGACAGTGATCGCTCCGTGCTCTCCTGAAGTTCACAATCATCTCTTTTGTTTTGTCCACATTCAGAGACAGATTGTTGACTTTACACTAGTCCATTAGCTGTTGCACCTCCTCCCTGTATGCTGACTCATCATTCTTGCTGATGAGACCCACCACAGTAGTGTCATCGGCAAACTTGATGACATGGTTCGAGCTGTGCATTGCTGCACAGTCGTGAGTCAGCAGGGTGAACAGCAGTGGGCTGAGCACACAGCCCTGGGGGGCTCCAGTGCTCAGTGTGGTGGTGCTGGAGACGCGGTTTCTGATCCGGACTGACTGAGGTCTCTCAGTCAAAAAGTCCAGGATTCAGTTGCAGAGGGAGATGTTCAGGCCCAGCAGGCTCAGCTTTCCAAGCAGGTGCTGAGGAATGATTGTGTTGAATTCTGAACTGAAATCTATAAACAGCATTCATACATATGTGTCCTTATTTTTCAAGTGGGTGAGGGCCAGATGTAGGGTGGTGGTGATGGCATTCTCTTTTGACCGGTTGGAGCGATAGGCAAACTGCAGTGGGTCCAGTGAGGGGGGCAGCCGGGTCTTAATGTGCCTCATGACGAGCCTCTCGAAGCACTTCATCATGATAGGTGTTAGTGAAACGGGACGGTAGTCGTTGAGGCAGAACACTGAAGACTTCTTTGGCACGGGAACGATGGTGGTGGCCTTGAGGCACGTTGGAACAACAGCAGTGCTCAGGGAGAGGTTGAAGATGTCAGTGAGGACATCTGCCAGCTGGTCTGCACATTCTCTGAGCACTCTTCCAGGGATGTTGTCTGGACCAGCAGCTTTTTGTGGGTTAACTCTGTGAAGAGTTTTCCTCACATCAGCTGTGGTTAGACACAGAACCTGGTTGTTGTGAGGAGGGATGGACTTCCTCACCATCACGTCGTTCTGAGCATCGAACCGTGAGTAGAAGTTGTTCAGCTCATCTGGTAGGGAGGCATCACTAGCACAGGCAGGTGTTGTCGTCCTGTAGTTGGTGATGGCCTGGATGCCCTGCCACATGCACTGCGTGTCACCGCCGTCCTGGAAATGACTGTCGATTCTTTGGCCATACGTACTCTGCTGCTCTGATGGCTCGAGACAGTTTGGCTCTTGCAGGGTTGAGGAGGTCCACAAAGTGTTCCTATCACCTCCGGGTGATGTCCCCAGGTGAGGTCAACAGCACCCCCTCCCCACTATAAATAGTAGGAACCAGGAGCTGCTTCCCCCTTCTGATATTCCGGATGGTTTGCCAGAACCTTTTTGAGGCCGACCGAAAGTCACTTTCCATGGCCTCACCGAACTCCTCCCACGCCCGGGTTTTTGCTTCTGCGACTGCCCGAGCCGTGTTCCGCCTGGCCTGCTGGTACCCGTCAGCTGCCTCCGGAGAACCCCAGGCTAATAATTCCCGGTAAGCCTCCTTCTTCAGCTTGATGGCCCCCCTCACCTCTGGCATCCACCATTGGGTACGGGGGTTACTGCCACGACTGGCACCGACCACCCTGCAGCCACAGCTCCGTACGGCCGCGTCCACAATGGAGGTCCGGATTGAACGGATGTCCATTCAGACTCAATGTCCCCAACCTCCCCCAGTATGCAGTTGGAATTCTGCCAGAGGTGCGAGTTAAAGCTCCGGCGAACAGGACGTTGCCAGTAGACCCTCACTATGCGCTTGGGCCTACCAGGTCTGACCGGCTTCCTCCCCCGCCACCTGAGCCAACTCATCACCAGGTGGTGATCAGTTGATAGCTCTGCCCCTCTCTTTACCCGAGTGTCCAAGACGGAAGGCCGCAGATCAGATGATACGATTATAAAATCGATCATCGACCTGTAGCCCCGGGCATGTTCGTACCATGTCCACTTATGGACACCCTTATGCTCGAACATGGTGTTCGTTATGGACAAACCATGCATTGCACAGAAGTCCAATAACAGAACACCACTCGGATTCAGATCAGGGAGGCCGTTCCTCCCAATCACCCCCTTCCAGGTCACACTGTCATTGCCCACGTGAGCGTTGAAGTCCCCCAGCAAAATGATGGAATCCCCCCGTGGCACGCCAAATAGCATACTGCTAAGGGAATCTAAGAAGGCCGGGTACTCTGAACTGACATTCGGCGCATAAGCGCAGATGACAGTCAGACCTATCCCCGATCCGAAGGCACGGGGAAACAGCCCTCTCACTCACCGGGGTAAACTCCATTGTTACTGCACCAAGCTGTGGGGCCACCAATAGCCCCACCCCAGCCTGGCGTGGCTCACCCACCGCAACTGCAGAATAAAAGTGCTTCCAGCCCCTCTTCAGGAGACTGGTTCCAGAACCCAAGCTATCTGTTGAGGTGTGTCAGGGTCAGCCCCTGCTGTGGTCCTACCGTGTCCCTTCCCCGTTTGACCAGCAGGCATTCTTGTGTCTGATTTTGTAGTTGGTTTTGGTTTTGTTCCTTGTGCCCCTGCTTGTGTCTTTACCTGTTTACAGTTTTTTCCAGTCATTTTAACGCGTGTCTCAATACCATGTCCACTTTTTCACAACACTTAACACATGCACCATACCATTGGACCATGTGAGCTAAACTATGTATATGTTTGCATTGCTTTGACACAATATGCATTCAATCACCACTTCCCCCAAATTTCATGAATACTTCTCTCAGTCAGTGTTCGCCACCAGCAAAACTTTGTACAACTACAGCCGATTTTTCAGACAGATAATCTGTTCAAAACAGTTAACTTTCAGGTCAAAACCTAATGAAATATAGAGCACTGTCAATTGAAACATGCTGCATTTTGACAGACAAAGGACACTATGCACTTGCACTAACACAAATAATTTTGCTTTTAGCAGAAATTTCCTAATTTTGTTTTTGTTTGCTGCTTCGTTACCATCTACACCATCTATACAAATGAGGCCATGGAGTGTCCCTTTCCTTTTTGCAAGGCAACACAATGTAATCTGTGAAAAAACAGTGGGTATGGCAACACACATATTACAGTAAAACATTTGCATTTATTCATTTAGCAGACACTTTTATCCAAAGCTACTCACAGTGAAGTACTGTAACTACAGGCACAGTCCCCCTGGAGCAAGTTGGGGTCAAGGGCCTTGCTCAGGGGCACAATGGTGGCAGCCCCTGGGATTGAACTCCCGCCAGCATGGAAGAAATGTGACAGGAAGGAGAGCCACCATTGATGCTCCAGGCCAGAGGGGCGCTAACATCACCATGTGTGCAGCAGTATCTGCAGACGGGCTGCACCTGCACAGGGCTGTAATTGGCCCATACAACTCAGCCCTCCTGGTTACTTTCCTTGATGAACTGTGGGAAAAACTTACTGTCCCAAGAGATCAAGAAAGGCAAAATATTCCAACATATGCGATTGTATGGGAAATTGTGGTCTTTCACCACTCTCGACAGGTCACTGCATGGTTTACAGACCACCCCAGGATGATGCCATTATTCCTGCCACCCTACTCACCAAGGTTATTATAGTTTTGCATTTTTAAATTCGTTTTTATTTTAATATCGTTTTCAAATTTGCTATGAATTTTAGTTTAGTGGTTCATTAATGGTTTTCTTAGTTTTCGTTTCGTTTTTATTTTGTGAAAACATTTCTATTTTATTTTTATATATTTAGTTTCAGTTTTAGTTTTAGTAATTATAGTTTGGC